CGGACACTTGTGGTCACTAAGAGTTGATAAGCTCTCGCAAGGCAACTTCTCATCGCGAAGCATTGTCACTTCGGACGATCAGTGGAAAATAATTGCCTTGGAGGTGGAAGACGCTTGACTCTTAAGAGAGCATCTTTGAGCTTTGAATTTGGCACAAGGAATGCTTGAAAGAATGTGTCACATCATTTGGGGTTAATGAAAATAGATCACTGCTCCCTACAAAACTCTCAAGGCCACTGGCATCAACCACACCTGACAAGCTCAAACCTTGCCAAAAGCCGCTCCAAACCAACCTCATGCTCCTGCCAGCTTCGCTGCTCTGATCAGCTCGTACGCACAATTGACCTGAACAAAGCGGTCATGGCTGCCAGATTTGTCTGGATGAGATTCACGGGCCAATTTCAGGTACTGCTTCCGAACCTGCGCCGGCCGCGCAGCTTCAGAAAGCCCCAGGACTGAGTACGCATCCTTCAGAGCGCGCTCTCTGCTGGTGCCAAAGAACGTCACGAAGAAGGTCCGAGTGGCTTGCTTGGCAATCTCCGAACCAATGAGAGCACCAGCCAAGGCGCCAAACCCAACACCCCATGGACCTGCCCCTGCCAGCAGTGTAGCGCCGCTCCATGCACCAGCAGCTGCCGCAGCTGCTGAGGCCAAACTAGTGAGTAATTTGCCGGCCAGCTCATACGAATCAATTTGGTGATTCCAGTACTGACGGATGTGACCATAACACTCATAACCAAGGAAGCCCACAGTGAGTACCGTGCCACCATTCGTCAGCCAGCTGGAGCTGTTGCGAGAAAGGGTAGGAGATGCTTTCTTGCCGAAGATCTCTGCAGCATTTTGTGTGGTCTTTTGCAAGATCTTGATGGTCTCAGAGACCGGTGCAGCACTTTGCAAGGCCTTGAAGGTGTTGGGCATGGCGTCAGGTACCACCGCTGCGGCCGCTGCAGCATGCTGGGCAAATTGTTGGCCAGTGAAATAGGCTGCGGCACCTGCAGCCTGGATTGCTTGCCCGAGATCAGGAGGGACGGCGGGGACCAACACCCAAGGCTCTTCATATTCCGTGATGTGCGTTCCCACAAACTCGCGGTATTGTGCCCTCATACTTTCCGTCTGCTCATGCAGGCTGGTACCTTCCTCCGCCGAAGCTTTTTGAGCTGACCCTGCTTTCGGCCTCATGCCAACGAGCGTGCGCACAAATGCTTGCACCGCAGGAGGAGACGCCTTCAGGCCGAGCAATGCATCACGATACTTCGGCTCAGACTTGAGCAGCTGCAAAGTCTGGTCCACAGCAGATCTGTCATTCGGGAACATCTCACGGAGAAGCGCTTCCAAGCTGTCCACGTCCTCCATCCTGCTAACTAATGGGCGCTCAAAGGGCTTCTACTTTGAGGCTTTGTGGATGGCTTCGGAGACATCTCTCTCCATTTCTCTGTACCTCCAGCCAGCATCCTCCAGCAAGTCTCTGAACCCTTACCCCGGCAACCGTAGCCGCCCGCCAGTCACTGACTCTAAGTCACTAAGTCTAAGTCTAAGCTAAAACACCAGGCACATACCGAGCCTTCTTGTCTGCGGGATCCACGCTCACAGCGCGATCCAGATCTTTTGCCGCAGGCCCCTCAGAGTCATTCACGGATCCATCAACTGGGAGGAATTGGTGGAAGTGGAAGAGTTCTGTTCACCCCTTCATCATCCTTCATCTGAATTCAAGCACCAATGTCCCTTCCACATCTCTTTCGGGCGCTGCTCCACTTCTTCTTTGGCCCGTCGAACAGGCCCCCGGGCCCAGCGCTTCATGCGCGCCAGCGCGAAGCCGCGGCGCAGCGTGGCCTGGCGAAGGAAGTCGGAGAGCGTGTCGTCGCCACGAGAAGAACGAAGCATTGACTGGATCAGGGAAGGCAGGGAGCTTTGAAAGCTTCAGTGCGAACTGTGAACCGAATGTGATTTGGTAGATTCATGGAAGGAAGGAGTGCTTAATCATGCTTCATCGAATCTCTTTTGCCATTCCTCCGTTCAATCCGTGATCTGTGTGTAGTCTATTAGCGTCACCATCAGTAGAATGGAGTAGATAGAATCAAATAGAACATGAAGCTGACACATTTCAACACTGACACCAATTTTGAGACCGTTGCCCTGTTGGCTGTCAGATTCATCTATCATGCATCTACCCGCCCCTGGATGCGCGGCACACGCCCGCGCGCATGGGTCCTTGTGATGGAGTGGCTCAAAGCGAAGCGCCTGCCATGACATTGGCGGAAGAGGTGTCCCCCGGTGTCTCGTTGAGCCCACTGGCGTGGTGTGGAAAAGACCAGTACGGCAGAAAGGTAGCACTTTGGGTCCTGGGTGGCTACAATCCGGCAAAACCCGCTGCAAACTGCAAACCCCATGTTTACAAAGCAGATTGATGCAAGTGTCTTCCGACACCAATTTACCCAATTCCAGGTTAGTGTGCAACAACCAAGCATTGTTGTTAGACTTGTAGGCAGTAGAGCAAGATCAAGACCAGTCTTTCTCAGGCGTTTCACCTCCCACCTGTCGACCCCAGGCCTCAGAGGCATCCACCACGCATTCGCGCCAGTCCTGCACGGGAAACATCTTCACGCCCCCTTCGGGCAAGGCCCATCCCGTCTCGGGCGTTTTGGCTGTTACCCCAAAGAGCGGGTGCGCTTCAATGCAGGACTGTATTCAAGCACAAGGGTGTGATTCCACTGGGCCAGTGATCTATCCAGCCACCTTGATACGGGTCCAAATGTCACGCACCCTCACGCACCCTCACACCCTTTTCTTGCGGGGGCGCTGCGGCAAGTCTCGCTTTAGAGTCTTGCAAAGTCAATGGGATTGAGATTAGGTTGCAGGAGATCTGCAAGACTATGTGATTTGGATGTGTCAAGAAAGAATCACAGCTAGTGACAAGTGATAGCCTACGCAGAAACTCGGATCTTTGCCTGTCCAACGTGGCAAACACCTCCTGTTGCCCAACCCTACAGCGGTTTTCGGTAGAGCTGGCCGCCCGCCACCGCCGGCAACGGCAACAAGGGTGGCATCGGTTGTACCAGCACGGTCCGAGAACCTGGCAAGGCCGGAGAAAATGGTTTCAACTTGAACAATATTCATATATACATAATCATTTAATCGGGACCCATCATCGCAGCTAAAAGGTCGACAAAAAGTTGATTTGACAAACAACAATACAACATAGAATAACAGATTCCAGTTACATCAGTTACTACCGGTAGTAAGGTCACGAGTTGTGTTTCAACGACTAAAAACCCTCTACGAGTTGCGTTTCAAAGACTAAAAACCATCTAAAAGCTATAGGCCATAGGGCCTCCAAATCCAGGTTCCGTCTGTGGTAATTGACTGGGATCGACCTGCACCAAGTAACAAACCCGGAAATTTCTGGAGGGGCGGGAAAATGTCCACTCAAAGGTTCCAATGGAGGGACATGCACTCTGATCTCTTGCCGTTTGGCTCCGGCTTTTGCCAGAAACCACCCGTCTGCACCAAGTCCACCTTTGGCTCCATTTGCCCAGCTCCGCTCAGTCAAGTGTGGAGAGCTTCGGACCGCAGCTCAGTCAAGTTGCGGTCTCAGAGTTGGATGGTAGGTCTCCCATAAAGTGTCCGTTCTCCAAGCGGTCGTTATGTTACTTTGGTGACCTAGCCTGGGAGATCTGGGAGGTGCCCTTCCTTCAATCCACTCATTCACCAGCGACGAGTTGAGCATGCCAAAAAGAGTGTTGTTGAAGTAACAGTGAGGAATGCACCACTGCATCCAAATGCAATTAACACTAATTACAACTGTTTTTCACAGGGGATAACAGCAGTTGACTGGTCTTTTCCTTGTGCGCTTGATGACCTTGCGTCTCCTCGGACCATCACCGCACACCCCTCGCTCCACCGGACGCGGATCGTCTCGGCCTGTGGAGGAGAAGGAACTCCCCATCTGCGACGCCAAGAGCGGGTCGTAGCCGGGGCTTGGCTCGGGCTCGCGCGAGTACATGGAGACGCGCCTGGCGCAGCTATGTGCTGAGACGCGAGACGCGCCGTTGAGAAGGCCAAAAGAACCAAGAAGGACCTTCATGGAACGGTCTTAAGCGATTAAACAACGTCTTTTGACAGGAATTGTGTTGAGAAGTTGAACGAGAGTCCGTATACATGGGTTTGGAGTTGTAGTTGGGAGGCCACGAGGTCCCTCTCGTTCTCTCACTGAGACATCTGTCTCTGTCTGTTCTGCCCAAGACTGTATTTTGGCGGATGTGTGTTGGCGTCAAAAAGTACACTGAGTAGACTATAGATAGAGCAAGTCGACTACAGCCCAGCGGTGAATTGTGACTTCACCAAAACATCCTTTGTGGCAGTGCGCTCCAAACTGGAAAACCATGGATGACCACTTTGCGAATAGTCTTTCAAGCATAATTGAGGCAATCTGCAACTACAACCAGAATCATTCTGAGAATTCAGCCGATTTCGGGCATCTTTCCATATGACCACCATATGACCACCTGTGTCAGAAACGACCACTGCGGCATGACCCCCTTCAACCCACCGAAGGCATCGCGTCCACGGATGCCCCGCGCCGGGTGGTGTTCGGTGACTGGCTCAGCTCATCGTCGCTGTCATCCCCTGCAGACGTGCGGCCGCCGTCACGGGGAAAGCCGACGCACGGGTTCTCGTCCTCACGGGCGAAAGCCTTGACATGTCGGACTGGGACATTGGATTCTGAAAGAAGTGTGGACTTCCTTTCCCAAGTCCCCCTTGACTTTGAGCAGCTCGGTCAAGTCAGGGTTTGTTGCCACTTGATCTTCTATGATCGGTGTTCATCTTTTTTTCGCTTGGTCTCCAAGCTCAGGCTTGCCCCTGCGGCCAGCCCCCAGAACGGCTGGCAAACTCTCGCAAAGGCCATTGCTTGTGTTCGTTTGAAACAAGTCCGTGGATGGGGCAGCCCGAAATAGAAAATAAGAGAAAACATAATAAATTACTGCAAATGACGCTCCTTTACCATACCCGTGGTCTGTTTGATCAAGTGACAGCAGCTTTGTGCATTTAAGAAGGCCGGCAGCCTCGACATGATGAGAACAAGTCGAGACAAAGAGGATCCTTGCAAAACGTCACACATCTCCTCGTGGTTCCTAGCCTCATCCAGGGGCAAAAGTCAAGGATCTTTTGGACCTTTGCAGAACTAAGTATGTCACATCCTGTCGAAGCAAGGCTCGTGAAACCTCTTAAGGTGAAGTCCAACAATTCACCGTTTCGTCCAGCTGAACGACCACCCTTCCAACTTGCGCCATCGCCTTTTCCACGACCTCCGCCCCCCCCCACCCCCACCCGTGGCCGAGCGAGCGCCTTGCCAGGGCCACCGCTGGCAATGCTTCACGAAGATGGCTGCAGCCACCACCGTGAAGACGAAACCGACCACCTCGGTCCACGCGGTGGGTCCGTGACTTTCCGACGGTCCGCATGCCCACGGCGTTCGCCGGTGGTGAGATGGACGTTCAACGAACGGATGGACGTTCGAGGGAGCTTCTGGACGTTCAAGGGTGACTCGCTTGAGGGTGCCTTTTCTTTTTGAGGATGGGCCAGTGAACGACTGGATTCACGTGAGTATGAGTCCCAGCAGGTGCTAGTTATGTGGTTCTCAGCAGGTCAGTCACCTTGGTGATGGAGAAACAAACAAACAAACAAACAAACAAACCAACCAACCAACCAACCAACCAAAACAAACCAACACAAAACAAAACAAAACGAACAAACAAACAAACAAACAAACCCGGAACACCTCTTCGCTTCCATCTCTTCGCTTTGGCCTTTGCTCCGCAAATAGTTCCGCTTATGGCTCCGCAAGCTGAGCTCCGTCTCAGCACCCCGGCTGAAAGCAACATCCATGGGGTCGTCAGCAAGGCGTGGAGCGAGAACTCCTGCGTCGCGGCGAAACCGCAAATGATGCTTAGCTGGAAAATCCGAGTTCCCTGGAGGGTCAAACAGGTTATACATAGATCATCATAGATTCTAGATCTAACATCGATTATATAATTAGGGAAATACGGGAATTGATTGGTGCTGCTCCTGGGCAACAAGCCTGAGTGGTCGTGGTCTTGAGCGATGCCTATTGAAAAGAAGGCCCCACAACTCGACTGCACCGAAATCAGAGCCTTCACCTTCCGAGCCTTCAGACCTTTGCCTCCACAGCTTCTTGGCATTTTTCCCCAGCAAAAAAGGACCGCGCCGTTTCCATCCAGCCGCGCCTGGCCCTTCGGCAGCTCCAGCGCCGTCTTCTGGACCAGGGAGTTCGCACTCCGAAGGCCCAACTGGAGCACGAGCCCAGCTGGGTTCGCTGACGCAATTGGGATCAGCTGGGTGGTTTGGGGTTCGGTCTCGCTTCAGTTTTGGGTTCAAACTGGACCGTGTGTGAGTGAGAGGACTTCTGACCACACCCATAAGTTCCACAACCGAAAGGCAACATGTTCAGCACAATGTGTATGGATGTCCATGGTATCATGTGTTCATGATGCATGGCTGCCGCATGGCTGGACACTGTTGTTCTCTTGTGAGCAGCATTGTCCTGTGAATGGCCTGTGTTGCTTTTCATTGATGCCACCGTCACCGAACGATCACATACCGCAATGAACCGACGGTAATATTCATTTATATAACGGCCAAGGGATCTTCCACTCCGAAGAAACAAGAGAATCTGACGAATTGCAAAGTAGGTGCGACTAAACACTCTCCAAGCGTGGTTAAACACTGTGAGAACCACCTATGTTGCTTGCGCTCGACTCGCCAGCACTGGCGCTCGACTCGTCCCCTGGCGCTCGCACCCCACATGCTCTCTCTTGACCTCGCGCCCCCTCTCCCGATGCGTTTTGCATCACTCCAACCCGAAGCCTCGACGCCCCCCAAAAAAGGACGCCAACCGCTCCACGCACGGAGGTTTTTCAACGCCTGGAAGCCCTGCTCGATGGAGGGATCCAACTGAAAGGCATCGTCCACCTCATCGAAGGTCCTGGGAGCCGAACCGCCCCTCCCTCCGGGGACGAGCCCGTTCAACGTCCCCTGCTGTGTCAGGGTGAGCCCCCGAGCCCGGGACCATCACCGGCGCCGGGGTTCCGGAGGTGGGTTCAAACCGACCGCAGGGCGAAGCGATCATGTTTCGAGGGGCGAAGCGATGCGACCGTGCAGCAATCATGGAACATCATGGAACAAGCAGAATCTCATCCCAAAGCAAGCTGGCCATGAACCCACATCAACTGTAGCCCCTAGAAAGAAAACACCTGTCAAAAACTGTTGAGATCTGCTGAGAATCTGTGGCCACCCCGAGAAAAGGAACATCATCTGCCCAACGGCTGCGTGGCCGTGTCTTACTGACCCCACAATCTCTCATCTCGCGTCCTTCGCCCAGCAATCTGCAGCCAACTCTGTCGAGTCGGCGCCATATCTAGCCTCATGACGGATTTTTCGGCCGGCAGCCTGGGGGTATCAACCTAGGTGTTCGGAACTTGGTTGGTACACCTAACATATGATGGACGCCGAGTCCCGTGCAGGGGCCGTGGGGCCATGGTTGTTCGTGCAAGCTTGGCACATCT